TCCACTCAGCCTCAGCTTCTCTCCACTCAGACTCAGCTTCCCTCCACTCAGACTCAGCTTCCCTCCACTCAGACTCAGCTTCTCTCCACTTGACCCCAGCTTCTCTCCACTCAGCTTCTCTCCACTTGACCTCAGCCTCTCTCTACTTGACCTTAACTTCTCTCCACCGGACCTCAGCTCCTCCTCATTCTGCCCTAGTGTATATCCCCTGGATCTCAAGTCCTCTCCGCTGGTCCGTACCCCAGTAACCTTCAACCTGTCTTTAAAACCAGACCCCATCCTAGACCCTGCTGTAGTGCCTGCACTTTCAGATTCAGCACCTATTTTGCCTCTGAGTTCTTGCTTTCCCCACATCTCCCTTGGGCTGTTTTTCCCCAAACCTGCTGAAGCCTGTAATGCACCTGCTACACTGGGCAGTAGCTTCACATCCATCCTTTCCTGACTCTGGCCTGACTTCTCTTTCAAGACCCTCTTTTCCACACCGTCCAGTCTCCAGTTCTCAGCGTCAAGCTTGGGGCCCCACATCCTAGGCTTTTGTGTATGTCTACCCAGGAGCTCCATTCTCTTCCCGATCACAACGAGCCCGTTCCAGGGCACCCACAATTTTTCTCGCCGAATCTGCGCCCCTCTGCTTCCTGGCTCCAGGTGCGACCGCCCGTGACCCCGGGCCTGGCCTCGGGCCTTGCCGCGTCCCCTCACTGCTCTGGGCTGCTTACCCCGCACATCCCTCATACCCCAGAGCGAATAGTCTAACGGAACCCCTTTCTCCACAGACATTACCCCTCACCTTCGTCCCTGGGTCCCCCCCCCCCCCCCCCCCCCCCCTGCCACCCTACCACCCTTGCCCACTAGCCCGCCGCCTTGCCCACCGCCTGGAGGGCGCGCGACTGAGCTAGTGCGCACGCGCAGATCGCGCGAGGCCGTTGGCGCCGCGGCCCGGAGCTGCGGCGCGCGGCTCACTGCCAGCCTGGGGGCGGGGGCTGACGTGGCACGAGGCCTCTGCAACCCCAGAACCCCCGACCCCGGCCCCCACGCCGTCGCCGATTCCCGGCCCTCTCGGTCCCGCGCTGCCCCCTTAAAAGCTGGGGCCAAGCACAGGAACGACAGGCGTTGCAGCCAATGATGTCGCTCACGGTGAACCTGACACCCAATCAAAAGGCGCGGCTGCTAGGGAGCGGGTGGGAAGCACGCCTGACTCCAGGTGACTCCGGGCAGGGAGGGGAACGTGTCTCCGTCAGCTGATCGAGTCCCGTGCAACCGGCGAGTTATCGGGGACGAAGCTGCGGGAGCGCGCGGACAGTGGCCAGCCGCGGAATAGTTGTGTGCTGCAGCCACGAAGGAGGGTGATGGAAGGGCGTCAAGAGGCTGGGAAGGAGAACAAGGTAAAGGAAAACGCAAATCCCCTCCCAACCTCCACCTCACTCCATGATACCCAATGATGCCCAATCAGGGAGTGGGGCGTGTGTGCGTGTGTTCGCGCGCACGCGTGAACTAGAGGAGAGACCTGAGCAAGGGGGTGGGGCGCGTCTGTGGCACCTGCATGGGGCCAAAGGAGGCAGGGTTTACCTTTGCCCTGCCAGGTGTAAAGGGACGGGCACTGCCACTCCTCTCCTCCCTCCCCAGGTTCTGGCTTACCGGGGAAGGAGAGGAAGGAGGGATGTTAGGGATTGAGAAGGCAATGGAGTACACTTCTTTGCCCAGGAAGGAATCTGGTTCAACACTAATGGCTTCACTTGTGTATTCGTGTTCATGTAACATAAGATCATGAATTCTTCACCCTTTCCTCTTGATTTCGTTCAACAAATAGTTGTTGAGCATCCTTGGGCTCACGGGGGTGCACACTTTTGAGAGTTGGAGGTATGTGCATGGTGGGCTGTGGCTGAGGACAAGGACGGAGTAGCTGTGGTCCATCCCTGAAGTCCCCTCTCCCTCAAGCAGTTACCAAACAGTACAGGTTAGAACAGAGATACTAAGGCAGCAGGGGGGATACAGGAGACTTAGGGGCCCATTGTACCACTTAGCCAGATTGTGTGTGTTGGGGGGATCGCGGTTGGACACAACAGGAGCCTGCCCTGGGGATGTTGTAGAAGCCAGAAAGTGAGGAGTGGGGTTCAAGTGGAGTTCGTAGAGGTGAGAAGGCCTGAGAGAGACAAAGTATGAAGGAGAAAATATGTGTTTCAGTGTTTATCTATGTTCGTATTCATGGTTAAATTAATTAATATATGTAAGACGCTTAGATCAGTGCCTGGCATATAGGAAGCTCAAGTATAAGTGTTAGCTATTGTTATCGTTGTTGTTATAACTGTTATTATATGGGATGTGTACTGGGCTATCAAACTGATGGGTGCATCCTCAAACTTTGTAAGTGCCAGACTCTCTGAATGTCCTCTATTAGATCATGTCCTCTAGAGTAAGCATTGCCTTCTCTAAGGTTCTCCTTTAAACAGAGATGAAAAGAATACTAAATGAAGATGTAATTAAAAATATAATAGAGGATAAAATGAACTAATGCAAAAATACTTGACTAATCTAACAGAAGGCAAGAAAGAAAGGATAAAGGAACAAAAATAGATGAGCCCCCCCCCCAAAAAAAAAACCCACCCAAAAGGCAAGATAGCAAGTTAGTAGCCTATATCAGTAATTACAATAATTATGAATAGACCAAACACTCCATTAAAAACATATTCAGGGGGTGCCTGGCTGGCTTAATCGGTACAGCATGTGACTCTTGATCTCGGGGTTGTGAGTTTGCACCCTACCTTGGGTGTAAGGTTACTTTATGTTTATTTATTTTTGAGAGAGAGAGAGCAGGGGAGGGGCAGAGAGAGAGAGGGAGATACAGGATCTGAAGCAGGTTCCAGGCTCTGAGCTGTCAGCACAGAGCGCAATGCAGGGCTTGAGCCCACCAACTGTGAGATCGTGACCTGAGCCCAAGGTGGAAATTTGACCGTCTGAGCCACGCAGGTGCCGTAGGTTACTTAAAAAAAAAAAAATCAGAGGCACCTGGATGTCTCAGTGGGTTAAGCGTCTGACTTGATTTCAGCTCAGGTCATGATTTCAGTATTGTGGGATCAAGCCCCACATTGGGCTCTATGCTGACAGCGCAGAGCCTGCTTGGGATTCTCTCTCTCCCTCTCTCTTGCCCCTCCCTCCTTCTGTCTCTCTCTCAGCTCCCCACTCCCACTCATGCTCTCTCTTTCTCTCTCTCCTTCAAAAATAAATAAACATTAAAATAAAAAAATTCAGATTGGATTTTTTTCAGATTGGATATTTATTTTTTTATTCATTTATTTATTTATTGGGGTGCCTAGATGGCTCAGTCAGTTAAGCAGCCAACTTCAGCCAAAGTCATGATCTCATGGTCCATAGGTTTGAGCCCCACATCTGGCCCTGTGGCTGGAGCCTGCTTTGGATTCTGTATTTCCCTTTCTCTCTGCCCCTCCCCCACTCACATTCTGTCTGTCTGTCTCTCTCAAAATAATAAACATTTAAAATTTTTATTTATTTATATATAGAGAGAGCATGAGTGGGGGAGAGAGAGAGAGAGAGAGAGAGAGAGAGAGAGAGAATCCCAAGCAGGCTCCATGTTCATTACAGAGCCCAATGAGGGGCTTGATCCCAAGACCCTGTGATCATGACCTGAGCTGAAATCAAGAATCAGATGCTCAACCAACTGAGCTACCCAGCCACCCCAGACTGGACTTTTTAAAGACAACTATACTCAGTTAAAAAAGACATACTTTATAAGGATACAAAAAGAATGCTAACCAAAAGAATGCTGGCATGGCTGTATTAATTTCAGACAAAGTAGATTCTAAGACAAAAAGTATTACTAGAGATAAAGAGGGACATTTTATAATGATTAAGGAGTCAACAGGAAGATAAAACAGTCCTAAATTTATATGCAACTAATAACATCATTTCAAAATATGCAAAGTAAAAGATTATTGAATTAAGAGGAGAAATAGGCAAACCCACAATTACAATTATAGGTTTAACACAACTCTCTCAAGTGTTAGAACAAAAAACCAAAAAAAAAAAAAAAATGTAAGGATTTGAGGCTTTAAAATACCATGATTAATCTACTTGATCTAATTGGTTTATGTAGAGCTCTGTACCCAACAACTGCAGAAAACAATTCTTCTCAAGTGCACTTGAAACATTTACCAAAATACATTATATGTTTGGCTATAAAGCAAGTATCAACAAGGTTTGAAACATTGAAATCATACAGAATGAGATCTCTGTCCCAGTAGGATTAAAGAATCAAAAAGATTCCAAAATATTTGGAAAGTAAGCATCATGCTTCTAGATAATTCACAGGTCAAAGAAGAAATTATAATTAACATTAGTTTTTTAAGAAATTGTCATGAAAATATGATATATCAAAACTCATGAGATATAGCTAAAGCAGTATCCAGAGGGAAATTTTTTTTTATGTTATTGTTGTCATACCCTTTACTTATGCATGTTATTTTTTTTTTATATATGAAATTTATTGTCAAATTGGTTTCCATACAACACCCAGTGCTCATCCCAAAAGGTGCCCTCCTCAATACCCATCACCCACCCTCTCCTCCCTCCCACCCCCCATCAACCCTCAGTTTGCTCTCAGTTCTCAACAGTCTCTTATGCTTTGGCTCTCTCCCACTCTAA